CCAGAACATTATTTTTGTATTTTCCCTCTTCTTTGGAGCCATCAGGAAACACCGTACAGCCATATCCATGCCTCTTGTTATTTGCCCACTCGCCTTCGTACTTCATGCTGTTGGAGCGCTTGCTGATGCCGAAACCACTGCGCTTGTCGTTCTTCCACTCGCCCATGTAGGTTTCCGTGGTGGTGGCGTCCACATGGTCTGCCACCAAGCAAAAATCATAGTCGACGTCGCCGAAGCTAATTGTGGAGTTGGCGTCGCTGGAACTGATCCGGCTCATGGCCGCGTCGCTACGGACCGAGCTGCGCTTGCTGGAGATGGAAGACTTGGATTCGGACTTGCGGAGTTTCATGCTGCCGAGAAGGGAGCCTCGCCGGAACAGGCCTCCTTTCTTCTTCCCAGCCGAGAGGTCAGAGTTGGCCTGGAAGTTGAGCACGAAGCCACCTCGGGTGCCAGCCGGGCTGTCTGCGGCAGCGGCAGGGGCGTCATGGAGCACGCTGCCGTTGCTCTGCTCACTGCGCAGCGAGGCCAAGGAGGTGCGCAGGGGAGAGCGGATCACCGTGGCCATGCCGTAGGGCACGCTCTGGCGCACCCCGTATCCGTGTCGCATGCCTCCGGCCCACTGGCCCTGGTAGGTACCTTCAAGAGACCACAAGAAACAACTCGGTTAGCAGGGGCTGCAAAGGGAGACTGGTGTGCAATGCAATCCTCTACAAGGATGGGGATACACCACTGGAGAGCCTTAATTCTGAGCATGCAGACCCAAGGTCGAATCTGACACATTTCAAAGCCAGCTCTCAGGAGTACTTTTTCATTGTGAATCCCTGCCTTGTAATTTTAAGTCTTTGGCTTTAATGCAATTGCATAGGATTTCCTTGTAACCTAGTAACTTTCAATTGTTATTTTAGAAAGCACTTGGGAGTTTCAGATGAAAACCACTACTTTCTGACATAAAAAGTGATTATAAATCCATGCCCCTAAAATTAACACGTCAAAAATCCTTCTTTGGAAGGTAGTGCATTAGCAGAAAACAAAGTCTAAATTCTATTTGTGAATTAGTAACGTTACTAATTCAGCTGGGGGGAAAAGACACCCCTAAATGTGACCGTCATGTCTGCCTCATGACAGCTTTCCAACAAGAATAAGACTCACTATTGTTACCTGGAACATGTGATTTAAATTTTCTATTCTGCAACCATTTTTGGAACAACCAATTTTGAGGACATTTACATTTCCGTCATGGCTCACACAACACAATGTCATATAAAAGAATCCACTATTAAAGTCTGTCTTGACATATTTCTGTCTATATATCCTGCAGTCATTTTGATTTTTATATTGCTATGCACAGATTTCCATTAAGTAGTAAACACTTCTTTTAAAAGTTTTGAGTGAAAATATCAGTGATTAGAGAGCTCTAGTGGCCTAGTGGCAGGAAACTGCACTGCAATCCCAGAGGAATGAGGTTCAAATCCACTAGATGCTTTGCTGGAGAAGCAGGGACAATCTCCTCCTGTACCTGTCAGATCCTATTTGTATGGTACACATACAAAAATAAAAAAACAAAATTTAAAAAAAGGAAAAAGGACACAGTGATATAACTGTGTTAACAGAATGACTATTTTGTTGCATTTAATTGTGAAAACAAAACGACTCTTAAGTAGAAAGTTTTGACTAAGTTCTCTTTCTATTCAACCTGATATGCCACATATATAGCCAATTTGTTGATAAATATTAAGTAGTTCTGGTATTCTTAGTGTTCCACTCTAAGTGAAGGAAAAATTGACTAATTTCCTCAAATGGGTATCTGTAACTAGTGTCTAGTATTGCCAAATAAGCATTGCTTTAAAATCCAAATAGTTTATGGTAACAGCAATAATTTAATAAAGTTCAAATCTTCATTTACTTGTCAAGCAGGCAAGAGGGAGAAGGGGAGTGGACCATATTTCTAAACTTTCATATTAAAGCAAAGTATATGGTAAAATTCCACCATGGAATTGCTGGAAACCTGTTTTATCGTCAAACTGTTAGCAGTTCACCTGAAATTTAAAATAGGTTCGCTTTCGTCAATGAAGGAAAAAGAGCCTCTTTATGAAGCAGGTAGGTTTCAACTTCTTCCTGCTGCTCAAATAAAGTTCCAATTGGCTCATCTTGATTCTTAAAATATAGATGTGCATTTCAAAAGTGTAACAAATTATAATTCGTGGTTTTGGGTTTAAATCTAGTACTTTGGGCATGTTGCTGGAAGGGGCTATTCCTTGGACGACAACATGATGTTGGGAAGGGGTAAGGATCGGCAAAGGAGAGGAAGACCCTCAACCAGGTGGACTGATGCGGTGACTGCTGCAATGGACTCTTGTGTGCAGGAAGTGTGAGGATGGCACCAGATGGAGCAAGGCTCAGATCTTTCATTCACAGGGTCACTATGACTCATCCTCAACACAATGGCACCTAACAAAACAGTGATTTTTCTAGATCTAGCCATTATTTTAACTGCACAATCTTGAGGTGGAAGGCATCCAGTTCAGAATATGTTCTGGTCCAATTTAGACTGCACTAGAAGTGTCATCAACCTGAAGGCACACAGTTCAGATCTACCAGCTGCTCCATGGGAGCAAGATGAGCAGTCTCCTCCCATGTGATTTATAGCCTCTGAAAACCCACTGGTGGGTCAGCTATGAGTCAGTTCCAACTCAATGGCACATAACATGCCAAACTGAAATCTCAATGCTGCAAATGGGTATGTACCAGCCTGCATTTGTTCAGAAGGCACTATGTCTTCCTAAATGCTTTCAATAGTCTCATGACAAGTGGGGGGGAAAATGCAGAACAACAGATTACAGAATCTGTACAAGCAATGCAGGGCACCTAGGTTTATAGTCTGGTTCTGATTTCTTCTTAATGAATATTACAGAGATTGCTATTTCAACAGCACTTGAAAATCACTGGTAAGAAAGTTACGTGATACTTCTCACATGGAATAACTACTCCCTTTTCTAGTTTAGTATCACCACAAGACAGAATCATTAGATGTTCTCTAAACTTAGTAGAAATTATATATGAAGGCATATGTGGTGATGGGCACAGAAGTTAAAACAAGCCAAATCTTATGAATAAGAAAAAGGAAATTGCATGTTTTGATAAAACTTTGAATGAAACAAGTTATAGCAATATATTTCTAGCTGGACCTCCATTTTTCCCTAATTGTCAAAGCCATGATTAAGGACTTTCTTCTAATGAAATTAAGTGACACCTGACAGGAAGGAAAAAACCTTGCTGGCACAGACTAGACTTGCAATAAGGGTTTTAACGGTTTTCTTTCTCCGTAACTTTAGCATATTAGAAGATTTCAGGTAAGAAATCCATGGTACTGTGGTGATGCCAAATTTTAAGGCTTTTTGTTTTTACTTTTTAAAAGTCTTAAAAGGCATGTTATTCATAAAGCCATGTTAATACAATTATTTGGGCTTCAACACACTGATAGAGAACCTTTCCTAAATACTATGCATATTTTAATGTTAAGGTCACAAGATTCTGTTTAATGAACAAGAACTTCAGGACTTCCTTTCTTTTTAACATTTCCAAATGAAAATGAGTGAACTAGTCACAGTCATCTTAAGTTTTAAATTAATGCACATCTTAAAAAAAAAGGTTTGCATTCCACTTTGAGGATGAGAGTCAAACAGAGCTGAGGCCTTCAATAAAATCTAATTGCCAACTTAACATATCTGTAGCATTGTCAAGCCATGCACTCCAAGTCCATTCAAGAGCTCTAACCACCATGGAACTCAAGACGCAGCCCAAATGAAAGCATTAGAGAAAGGGTACCCCCTGCACCTTCTTAATCTACCAGAACACCTTATCTTTTATTTAATACTGTAGCATGGAAAGAGTCCTGTTTAGCAAATCCTGCCATTCTGCTGTTTTGCATGTGAAATGCCGCCTAAGTGTTCTGAGTAAGTGAAGTGTACAAATTGTATAAGCTTTTTATATAAGCAGTGGCATAGCTGAGGTTGCAGAGGGCTGGAGAAACTTTTAATTGGATCCCTTTAACATTCTCTAACTCTGAACTCCCCTTTATTCCTAAAGGTGGGCACTGCCTCTTAGAACCCTTATCTGTTAAATATAATTATGTTTATGATCAGAAAAGTTCTTTCACCATTACACAAGCCATTCATCTTTCTCAGCTTGATAAGGAAATGCACGCAGTTTTGACACCTGTTTCAATAATACACACTTCCTAACTGCAAAAATAAGGGCTTGTCTGTCTTCTTTGACTGTTTGGTTAGCACCGGTAAGTATAAAAATAAGGAAATAAAGTGGATCTTGTTCACAGGCGGGCACTCTGTTTGGGCCATATTCCTTAACGCAGATCAGCGTTTCCCTGACACTGCCATTCTCATGAGTGATGTGACTTAGCTGCTAGCTCAGGCTAGAGGACTATTCAGTGTGATTCCAATGTATATCTGACGGGGGGAAAGGAGCAGAATCCATAGTTAACTTACAGAAGTGTTTTCTAGTAATTTGTCCAAGTATCTCCAAGTTAGCAAAGGCTACTACTAGTCTCTTCACCGAAAACCAGTACTTTTAAGCCGAATGAAAACTACGAAAAAGACAGCTCTTGACGCTTTCTCCAGCGGGTGGCTGCTCCTCCCCCATAAGTCTTCCAAATGAGCCCCAAATAAAGTCCAGTTCCCCAAGATCCTAGTTAGGGGGTTCTGCCTTCTATCTTTAGTCTACTGGAGGGCCAGAATCGAAATCCGACTCCACGTGAAACCAATCCGGGGAACGGTCTGCCCGGACCGCCAGCCCCACATCTTTCGCTTCTAACTCTAACCAGAGTAGCGATTTCAAACTCTGTCGGGAGAGGGGAGGGATCAGGAACGTAATGTGACGGGCTCAAGTGACAGCGTGCCCTCCCCTGCCCAGCCCTCCCGGTGGCAGTGCAGCGCTGGCGCCGGCCAGGTAGATTCACGCCTCGCTCCCTCGGGTGTGGACACGCTGCCCGCTCCAAGAGTGGGGTCAGAAGAAGCCCTCGCCCCGCAAGCCCGTCCCACCACAGCCCCTGGGGCAGGGAGAGCACAAGCTGGGGGGGGGGGCTCCCCCAGGTGCTTTGGCGGGTTTCCGGGCACGTGCGCCCCGAGTCCTCCCCGCTCCCCAGGCAGAGCCCTGCGCACCACCGTGCGGGGCAGCCAAGCCCGCGACGCTGCTCACCTCCGTCCCCGTAAGTCTCCACGCCGTACCCGTCTTGCAGCCCGTTACTCCAGGTACCCTCGTAGCGAGCGGGGGTGGACAGGCTCTGCCGGACCCCGTAGCGCCCCTTGAAACCATGTGACCACTCCCCCCGGTACATCCACTTGCCCTTCGTCTCCACCCCCAGCCCGTGCCGCTTGCCCTGCGCCCAGTAGCCCTGGTAGGTGTTGCCGCTGGGCCAGGTGTAGCCGCCGACCACCTCGAAGCCGTGGGACCAGGAGCCCGAGTACTCGCCCTGGCCCTTGGGCCCCGTGCAGATGCCATGCCCGTGCGCCTTGCCCTCCTCCCAGCCGCCGCAGTAGGTGCCGCCATCGTCGAAGTCGAATCTTCCGCCCGTCATTCGGGGGGCAGCCCCGGCGCGCTCCCCGCGGGCGCACGGACGCGGGCAGAGCTGGGCACGGCAGGGTGTAGGTCGGAGATGGGGGCCCGGCGGGCGAGCTCGCGACAGCGCCCCGGGCAACTCGCGCTGCCGCTCGGCTCCAGTCCGACGCCGCCCCCGTCCTCCCCTCTTTTGTCGCCGCCACCACCGCCGCCTTCCTCCTCCTCCTCCTCCTCCTCCTCCTTTGCCGCCGCCGCCGCCCCGGCCAGCGCTGCGCGCGAGAGGACAGCCTGGGCGCCGGA